TGTCAATCCTCTGTGATTCAACGAGACCATATAAGGATCTCTTGTAGACTTCTCGTGACATGCTTTATTTCTATAAATTTATTGTTATGTTAACGTTAGGGAGGAAGAATAATAACATGACGTCAACATAAAGGCGAAAGAATCATGAAACGCCGTGCATTAAAGTTTAGAAGAAAAAAAATCGTTAGGAGGACAATTGACGTCTCCAAAACAAAGTCAATTTAATGTGAGATCGCATAAATTTAGAATAGGCGGAGACAGGTAATCAAAGTCCAGCAGAAAACAGGCAGTGGGACGAGGCTATTGTGAAACACAAAGCATTGTATACATGGTGCCAGTGAATTTTTTATACAGTGTACTTGTATAACATTTCATACGTGATTCCTGTACACCTATGTATACAATATACCTATTTACAATTTAAACATAATTTATACATAGAATATGGTTCAGGAAGTCTCAGATTTTAATTAAATTCCCACAGCTCTTTACCTGATCGAAAAGGTTCCCTAGAATCTCAGTTCTGTTTAGCCACTCATGAAATATGGTTGCTGTGTTTGTTAGTTCTACTTGCTGTCAAAGGCTCTGTCCAATGGGATGGGGGGGGGGGGCATTTGTGACAGAGCTGTGTCATCATTGTGTTACGCCGAGGTGTTATCATTTGTGACAGAGCTGTGTCACCATTGTGCTTAGCTGAAGGTGTCATCATTAGTGACAGAGCTAAGCTCAAATTGCCATCGTTTGTAAAAGAGTTATGGGTCAACATTGTGTCAAGCTGAGACAGTAGATCAGCGATGAAATACAAAGTTCAGTGTCCCCACTACATCCCCAACACTCCAATACTTCCCCACCTCTCCACTACTTCCCCAAACCCTCCACCACTAACCCGATTCTCCACTACTTCCCCAACCCCCCACTACTTCCCCAACCCCCCCCCCCCCACTACTTCCCCAACCCCCCACTACTTCCCCAAACCCTCCACCACTAACCCGATTCTCCACTACTTCCCCAACCCCCCACTACTTCCCCAACCCCCCACTACTTCCCCAACCCACCACTACTTTCAGAACCCCCACCCCCCCAATACTTCCCCAACCCACCACTACTTTCAGAACCCCCACCCCCCCAATACTTCCCCAACCCACCACTACTTTCAGAACCCCCACCCCCCCAATACTTCCCCAACCCACCACTACTTTCAGAACTCCCACCCCCCCAATACTTCCCCAACCCACCACTACTTTCAGAACCCCCACCCCCCCAATACTTCCCCAACCCACCACTACTTCCCCAACCCCCCACTACTTCCCCAAACCCTCCACCACTAACCCGATTCTCCACTACTTCCCCAACCCACCACTACTTCCCCAACCCACCACTACTTCCCCAACCCACCACTACTTCCCCAACCCACCACTACTTCCCCAACCCACCACTACTTCCCCAATCCCTCCACTACTTCCCCAACCCCACCACTACTTCCCCGCCTCTCCACTACTTCCCCACCCCTCCACTACTTCCCCGCCTCTCCACTACTTCCCCACCCCTCCACTACTTCCCCACCCCTCCACTACTTCCACACCCCTTCACTACTTCCCTTCCTTGCCCGACCCTCCACTACTTCCCCGACCCTCCAATCTCCACCTTTCCCTCCACTACTACCACAATTATCCACTACTTCCCCAACCCACCACTACTTCCCCAACCCCCCCCCCTACTTCCCCAACCCCCCCCCCCCCAACTACTTCCCCAATCCTTCCACTACTTCCCCAACTCTCCACTACTTCCCCAATCCCTCCACTACTTCCCCAACTCTCCACTACTTCCCCAACCCACCACTACTTTTCCAACCCCCCCCCCAATACTTCCCAAATCTCAACTACTTCCCCAACCGCTCCACTACTCCCCCAACCCTCCACTACTTCCACATCCCCCCATTACTTCCCCAACCCCCCACTTCCTTGCCCGACCCTCCACTACTTCCCCGACACTCCAATCTCCAGCCCTCCCACACTACTTCCCCACCCCTCCACTACTTCCCCACCTTTCCATAACTTCCCCCTAACCCTCCACTACTTACCTCCTCCACTTCCTTGCCCGACCCTCTACTACTTCCCCTCTCCACTACTTCTCAAACTCTCAACTACTTCCCCAGCCATCCACTATATCCCCAACCCTCCACTACTTTCCTAACCCCTCCACTACTTCTCCAACCCCTCCACTACTTCCACACCCCTCAACAACTCGCCCATCCAACTACTACTTCCCAGCCCCTCCATTACTTCCCCACCTATCAATTATTTTCCCGACCCTTTCTCTACCAAATCAACTCTCTACCACTTGTTAACTTACATTACTCCCTCCTCCCGCCACTCTTTAGCCACTAACTTTCCTCACACCAATTCCTTCTTCAACCATTTCACAGACTAAAATAAATAACCCCTGACGATTCGCTCTACTCTCCTAACAATCACCCGCCCCTCTCTGCTCAAAAAGTTCAGCATTTAACCAGACTACTCGTTTCCCCTTCTCCCACTTCAAAGAAACAGAGCTCCGCCCACACCCCCCCCCTCTCCCCCGCACACACAGGTTAGTTGGATGTTATACAATCGCCTCTGTGAAGATCTATTTAAGATTTCTGTGTAAAAGTTTGTCTACGACTACACAATTTTGCTTGCGAATATACCAGACCGTTGGTCGTTATAAAAGTTAGGATTAAGATGTAAAAATAAGTCTTAGTGTATAATCTTACCATTTGGTTTGTGAAAATACGCCTGACTATAAAAATAAAGATTTTAATGTCTATAAGAGCTATACAATTCGTTTTGTGAAAATAGCAGACGGTGAGTATAAAAGTTAGGATTAAGATGTAATAGTTAGTCTGCGACTCCATAAATTACGCTGTGATAATTCTGTGAATATTAAAAATTAGTAGTAATTCAAAATTAGCCGAAACATTTACACTGGTTTATAAAATAAAATGTGGTCTCGTTGCGCCCACTCACTGTGGTCGGACCCCACATTAGATACGGCATTGATGAACAACTGATTTAAAAAGTAGAAAGTTAGTAGGGGTCCTTAACAGACACTTTTCAGTTAAAAACAAGACGCATTTTTTTTTGTTTTAAAGAGGTCATAACTTTCTTAGAAATAGGGCTTGTAAGTCTGCGGTCTCGAAATCTACTGGCTGCATAGTACGAGAACGAGAAGTAGTGATCTACGTACAGGCCCTATTGACATATGGCATTAAATTTTATGTTTCTTTTCTGATGAAAGCAAACTCTACCAGAGAGAATTGTTAAATTGTGATTCATTGTTTTATTGTATATACCTATTAGTGTTTTTTTTGTAAAATTCATTTTCTTCTTTCAGTTAACTTTCGCGTCATGAGCGGCATTATGGCACTTCTGTCACCTCAGCTTAGGATGCTAACTTTGACAAGTTTGGCAATTATCATCCTGTCTTCAACTTTAAACATAGGTATGTACATTTTATGTTTTTATTTTAATTTTTTTACTTCTTATATCCACGAGTACATGCTGTTGAAATGTTACACACACAGGGCGGATAGTGCTGTGCTATCCATGGTGTTATCGGCTGTTTTGTGTGTACGTATATGGTTTTAAAACGAACTTGGCAGTTTTTAATGCAAGTTCAGTAACCGCACCAGAATCCAATTCTTGATCAGTCTAATATTTCAGTTATCTTCCTTCTATCTATTAAACAAAAGATGAGCCATGGCTGCTTTAGTTTTAGCATGTTTCACCAGATTGTGTAAGAGTCAGTAAGAGATTCACTTTATTTTCAGGTATAAAAGCTTCCAGCCTTCAAGAAATTGAACATGTAAGTTCTTTTATCTAAACATTAATTTTTATTCCTTAAAAAGTGTTTTTATGGTGCTTATCAATTAAAAGTTTGGTCAGATCAGGGCATGTAATGTTTACTGGGAAAGGTTGCTGTGTTTTAAAAAATGTAAATCCGTATTTCATGATTATCGCTTTGTAACCTAAATTTAAATGTTGACATTAGTATTAATCTTTTTTAGTTATTGGAAATATTATATATGCTTAAATATTTTCCAGTGCAATGAAAAAATATTTTTGGAAATGCCACATGTAAAATTTTCTGTTTAAAATTTAATAATCTTGAGATGCCCACAACAGTTTAGGGCAGAAAAAAAATTCTTCTATTTATTTTATTTTATTTGTTTTGTTTAACATGAAAACATGTTACTTGATTACGTTTCCCACTTCAACTTTTGTAATTGTATGTTTCCTCAAGGTTTTGAATGTTTCACTTAGCACTACTCGCGTTTTCTCTAGTTATTAAAATATTCCCTTTATCACAACAATAAACATTTTTTTTTTTTTTTTGTGGTTACTTGAATAACTTTTCATTCTTTTCAAAGTGTCCTTTCGGACCTTACGGTCTACATGGCAGGTAAAGCAGAGTTCAACTGTTTCTGTGACCTTGGCATACAAGGGGATGGTGTGGTCATAATGCCCAGCCGCCTTTACTTTCCCTAACCTAAGTCAGGTATCCATCAAATTTGGATGGACTAAGAGACGTGCTTTTGATCTAGCCAGGGACCCGAACTCGAGACTTTCGGGTTTGTAGACAAACGCTCTACTATTCGACCTCCAAGTACAGTTTCAGTTATTACTATTCTTGGATAAATGTGTGATGTACCTTTCACATTTTGATCTGAATTGGAGTCATTTAAATTTATTAAATCAGAAAAAAAGAATAGCGAGAGCAAAATTGTTTTAAAACTTCCATAATTTTATTTAAATTTTTAATTAAAATAAATTTTAAAATGCAAACAATGATATTTTTAAAACTATGTTACCTACTCCAATATTTTACCTCTTTATTTTTATAGGGTAACAAGGGACAAAATGAACGTTTAAACAATTCAGAGAGCGAACAATTTCAACCACTATACTTCACTGAAAGCTGTTACAGGTTTAAGAGTAGGAAGAGCTTCAGTTATTATCTCTTAGGGTTTAATCAATATAAATACCAGTTCGGTGACATACGGCTAATAGGTACCAATCGTCCAAGAGAGATGTTGAATTTAACAGTGCAATGCCGTAAGTAAAAGCTTCTTCTACATTGCGCACAACTTATCTGATTTTACTCTTCGCCTTTCATTTGTGTTCATAAAAACTGCATATATTATTTTGAACAAATAAACTCTGTATATGCTAACAAAAATGTTCATTGTAAACAAACGCAGAACATTATTTCTAATTAATTGTAATAATGAAATAATTATACAAATACTTTTTTCAAAAAAACAGCCATAATTTCAACAACATATTATTTACTGAAAAATCTTTAGTAATGCATATAGCTTTGTTGATTAGGTTTCATACTCGAGTCTTACATACATAACGCCATTTCTCTCGATCCCTGTTCATGCATTACCCACCTCATCAGTTAAAAGAAAATCAGGCACAAATATATTTCCTAATATTTCTGCATCCCTATCTCCACTCACAATATGGAATTTAAAAACAATTCTTTCGTGTAAAATATTAACGGTAAATAATAAAATAGTAACATATTTTTTTCCGAATCTATGTTAAGAAAATGCAGAATGACTATATTTCTTTATATCTTAAACAATAACTTTTCTAAAATTCTCAATAGCTGCAACAATTATATTTAGTTTCATTTCTTTTATTAAGTTGTAATAATTCTTCCTATTTACCCCACTCCTTGTAAAACGTTTTACAAAATTACGAACACCCACCCCCTGTAATGAGTGTGCCGCTATATCTGGAATACTCCTGAGCAAGTTTTCTCTATGCTAGTAGGAGGACACATAGCGCTCCGACTCCCAAGAAGACAAACTCTGTTGAATATGTATAAAAAGATATTTATTTTAAACACAGTTTTAAAATGATCTCTATGCTCTTTTGAACGTGTTTAAAAGTAAGACATGTTAAACCTAAAAGTCTCGAGTACGAGCCGCTGGATAGTTGAGGTTCAACAGCTTTATAGTTTGTTGTAGTTGGACGTGCTACGGAACTTAATCCAGAAAGAAAGACATATTAAAATCAGAGTCAACTGGCTGTATGGCGCATACCTTGAAATGTAATAGTTATGTTGGTAAAAATTACATTCCAAGATAGCAATTAAGTCGAGCCGGACGTTTTCCCGAAAGACACTTGCCCGAATGCCGTTTGCTCCAAGGCCGATTTCCCGAATGGACACTAGCCCGAATGCGACAAATGTCCGAATGTGCACTTGCCCGAATGTCTTTCGGGAATTTGTCGTACCCCAATTAAGATCGAAGAAGTAAATCATAAAACTACTATTCTACAATTATCATTAAAAATAATGTAGGAATTACTTTTTAAAAAATTGACACACTTTTCAATCTCTCTAGCAGTTAAATTATCATTACTGGCTCAAACTACGCTTATTGGGCAAGCAGAATGGAATAGGGTTGAAATTTCTTTTAAATATCTCCCAAACACGGTCTCTCGTGGGCTTTTGCGACCCATAGGTTTACGCTAGATGTTTATCACATAAGGGCCTGTTCGGTAGTGGGACAACTTCCTAGCGATTGCTGTAGTTATCCCATCACACAAGGGCCTGTTCGGTAGTGGGACGACCTCGTAGCGATTGCTGTAGTTATTATTGCGCGCGTCCTACCGATAGACCACTATGCCCCCACATAACTTTACTGAACGGTTGATGTTTTTCTTTTTCAGTAATTTAAATTAGTTTTATTCGATTTGACCCAGGGGCGGAACTACAGTGCCGCCAGTCCCTTAAGTGCGGTGAGGGGGGGCATGCCGTTTAGGGCGTCACGTCCGACCATAAATAATTTTTTTTTTAAAATTTGAATGCAATTTTCGTGAATTTTTCCTTTCATATTTGGTTTGCAAAAAATACTGTAGCTGAGGTACGATTATCTTTTTTTACAGTCACTATACCACGCTCTTCCACAAACATAAAAATCCATTACAGAAACTGTAGTGTAAAATAGAGGACACGTAGCTGTTCGACCAATCCTCCAAAGTGTAATTTGGCGGATGGGGAAGGGGGTGGGGGACCAAATTGGGGTCTAGAAAATTGTCGTCAAATTAATTTATAAATTTTAAAAACTTATTTATAATTGTATTTTTTAACCATCGTCAAAGTTAATTTCCACTACAATCAAACACACGCTTTACACCTGCAATGTTTTTTTTAAATAAACCGGGAGTAATCTCCTTAAAGTTTCTCGAATATTTATATATAACGCTACGTCGGGTGGCAAAAAAAATCGCGATTTTTGCTAATCTCGACGTTGTACATCTCCCTGAGTTGAAAAAACATAGCTTTGCAATCTTGTCCGTATGTCTGTGTGTGTCTGTGTGTGTTTGTAAACACGATAACTTGAGTACCGTTACAGCTAGGTTGATGAAGTTCCATATATAAGTATTTTACCAAAATCGTAGATCCGTATCAACTTTTGAGCGATTGCCGATAATCGGAAGTGGAACTTTTTCATCTTTCAATTTTTCAATAGCCTATAACTTGAGTACTGTTTCAAATAGATAAATGAATTTTCATATGTAAGTAAAAAAATCTAGTTCGCTGCAGTCTATCAAATGTTGAGTAATTTCCGTTAAACGGAAGTAGTAATCTACGCTATTTCCGATTTCTCATAAAACGTATGTGAATTTATGAAGTACTAATAATATTCCGCACTATAATGCACACTTTGTTTGGAATTAACTTGGTGTGCATTTTTTTTCTACGAGAATTTATTCTATTGTAAAAGTTTAAGTATTTAAAATGGATTAAATTCATGTCTATATCCCGAGTTGCCATCCCCTTTTGTATTATATAAGACTATTCGAGAAAGTTTATGGGAGATCACTCCCAGTTTACTTCAAATAAAAGGTTTAAGACAGGAAAATGCGTAAAACAAATAAAATGATAGAAGTTATACAACATCATTATTTAAAACACTTCAGTCTCAGCGTAAAACCTATTTGTTTACTGCAGCATCAACACAAACATAACGCTAACGTTATTTGAAAGTTGCGTTTTTAGCGTCAATCTGACTTCTCAAATGTGCGGATGCCTTTCTGCGATGTAACGTAAGAGGCCATAGATGGGTAATCACCACTTATGTTATTTAGCTTGCATGCACACTATAAATAACCTATGTGACATAAAACGCATTACCTGAATGTAATTGTTGTTCTCCGTTGGTTGAATGAGAATAATCTTTTTCCCTCCAAGCGAACCCAAGATTGTCCACTGGGTCCCAATTATCTGTCGGAAGGGTTTTCAAATGAATTTAGATCCTAATCCATGTCAAGTATTTATCTATATTTAAACTTGAAACCGTGGCATACATGAAAAAATTCTAGCGTAAACCTATGTGTCGCAAAAGCCCACGAGAGACCGTGTTTGGGAGATATTTTTAGGGCGTGTTTTATGTTTATAAAAGTGTTATGGTCATAAAAACGATAATCTTACGCTTTTTAAATATTTATCTAAAATATTTGAATGCTAGCCAGAAAGACTATCGCTTGACAGGCATTATGAAGAAACAAACGGGAAACAAAGTGGAAAATATAAGGACCAAATGAGACAATATGTCTTCCAATTTTAGATTTCTAGTTTTGTAAACCACCCCCGCACTATATTCAGCCCTATTCCACCTAAACCTCTAGGTAGTGTGTCAGTCCTTGCTTGTTCCCTTCAGTCGTCGTTATAGCAGCTAGAGGAATGTGGTGTGTTTTTCATAGAAATCTCTGAATTTAATTATGGTCCTTTAGCTCCCAAGTTAATTAGAGACCAAAATGTCCTACTTGTTTGCTTCACACATGTCATTAATTAGGGTTTATTGTATGTTTCTAAATGTATCTTTTATATGTATTGTATTGTTTGTATAAAGAGTGTCGCTTGTTTTTTTTTTTTTTAGATATAGTATTTTTCTTTTGGAGGCTTCCCTAGCAATGTTATTATTTCTTTAGAATTTTTCTAGCGTTTCTTTGTAAAATAGTTCTAATTTCTAGTAATATGGTTCTATAAAAATTCTCTTTAAATATTTTAATCGGTAGGTGTTTATTTTTTAATGAATGTCAAATAGCCCCATTCCCCAATTTAATTTCCTATATATGTGTTATGTTTCTAATTTTGTGTTGTTGTTTTTTTTTTAAATGTCTATCATAATACGCAGTTAAATACATGTGTTGATCTACGCAAAACGTATACGGTTTGAAGTGTGTTGTTGTGATGTTTTGTCTACCCCGTGTGTGATGTATATGTACGTGTGTGTTGGGGTAATCAGCAGTGGTCTGTACGGTGTGAGATGAATGATTGTGTGAGGATTGTGTGTGGATGATTCTACAGATCAAAAGGCTTTGATAAAACAATAATTAAAAATTTGATATCTTATTTACTTTTCTCCAACGAGTAGAGTGCGTTAGATTGCAATCAATATTTTATTACCTCCCCCCCCCCCCATACTAACATATTGAACGACCTCACCATAGTTTCCTACTCTATTTACATTCTGGGGTTACTTGTAATATAAACAAAAAACATTAAAAGAATTAACTAAAATAAATAGTCTTCTATAAGCTAAAAGCGGCAAAAAAAGTGATTCGCCTCAAATTTTACTTCAAGGGAAGATTGCAGCAGATTCTAAACTATTTTCTAAACTTTTTGCTATTAATTGCAACTGTCAGCTTTCTTCCTAGGAGTGTGCCCTCTCCCTGTCAAAATAACTAAGTTAACACCCATATTTATTAAACAAGGGGTCATCCATAAAAGACGTCACGCTTTTTTTTGACGATTTTTACCTCCCACCCCCTCCCCTCCGTCACACATAGTCACAAAAAGCAAGACCCCACCCCCTAAAATGACACCATACCACAGCCTACAACCCCCCCCCCCCCCCTCAAAATTGCAGTTGAATTTTTTTCAAAACATCGATATTTTTGCCTGAACTCTGTGAAAATAGAGTATTTTAATCCACTCCTATTGCAATTTATTAAAACAGTTTTCTAAAACGTGAAATAACGTCAAAAATTCATTTTCTAACTATGCTTTTTTATAATGCAAAAGTGTGACGTCGCACCATCTAAACCCCCCCCCCCGCCCCTCCCCCTCATCACACACCGTGACAACATGACGGACCCCCCCCCCCTCCCCCCTACGAGTGTGACGTCATTTATGGACGACCCCCAAGAACTATTTATTAAATTAACATAAACATTTTTTTTTAAATATGGCTACCTGGTTTCATTGATGAATCGAATATATTGCCGACATAAAGTATTTTTCCATGATCAAATGGGTCTGTCGCTACAAGCCGATATAAAGCATTTTCTGCCATAGAGAAAAACTTGAATTTAACAGGAAAAGTTCCTGAGCAGTAGCAGGGGAAATTGTTCCTTTCAGCGCAGACTTCCGGCTCCCAGCAATCTACGTATAGATCACAGTACTGAAAAATAAACTTTGATACGTCATCAGCAGTTGATGAATCTTGTATAATAAGTAGCTGCATACCTAAGTCACAGTGTGAAATTTAAATATCACTTTTTGGAGGACTCTAATCTGATGATTAGTGGCATTCGATCAAGCTTGAATATTCGCTTCTGATCTGGCTTAGCTTTCGATTCAAACAAATAATACAAACACTACACACTACATCACCCAACACATGCCTTAGGGCTGAGAATGAGATTATAATATAGTTTAATAAAATGAAATAAAGTGGAAAAGGTAAATTATAATGTGATAAACGTTATGAGAAATTAATAGATAATTAGAGAACAGAGTTATTTAGTCAAAATGACTAAAACTGACTATCGTGTAACAGAAAAAACAGATATTAGTCGAATAATAATACCGTAGAATGGAGTAGAATAGTTTAGATCGTAGAAGAATATATTATAGCAAAGTGGTTAATAAAAAAATGGAGTAGAATTTAACAGAATATATTTCACTAATAAACCCGAGCCTTGCGACTCACATCCCGTTACCTCACATAGCACGCTTTACACCACACACAATCTATCACCTCACATAGCACGCTTCACACCACACACTATCACCTCACATAGCACGCTTCACAACACACACAATCTATAACCTCACATAGCACGCTTCACACCACACACAATCTATCACCTCACATAGCACGCTTCACAACACACACAATCTATCACCTCAGATCTCACATAGCACGCTTCAAAACACACACAATCTATCACCTCACATAGCACGCTTCAAAACACACACAATCTATCACCTCACATAGCACGCTTCAAAACACATACAATCTATCACCTCACATCTCACATAGCACGCTTCACAACACACACAATCTAGCACCTCACATAGCACGCTTCACACCACACACAATCTATCACCTCACATCTCACATAGCACGCTTCACAACACACACAATCTATCACCTCACATAGCACATAGCACGCTTCACACCACACACAATCTATCACCTCACATAGCACGCTTCACAACACACACAATCTATCACCTCACATAGCACATAGCACGCTTCACACCACACACAATCTATCACCTCACATCTCACATAGCACGCTTCACAACACACACAATCTATCACCTCACATCTCACATAGCACGCTTCACACCACACACAATCTATCACCTCACATCTCACATAGCACGCTTCACAACACACACAATCTATCACCTCACATCTCACATAGCACGCTTCACAACACACACAATCTAGCACCTCACATAGCACGCTTCACACCACACACAATCTATCACCTCACATAGCACATAGCACACTTCACACCACACACAATCTATCACCTCACATAGCACATAGCACACTTCACACCACACACAATCTATCACCTCACATCTCACATAGCACACTTCACACCACACACAATCTATCACCTCACATAGCACGCTTCACACCACACACAATCTATCACCTCACATAGTACGCTTCACAACACACACAATCTATCACCTCACATAGCACGCTTTACACCACACACAATCTATCACCTCACATAGTACGCTTTACACCACACACAATCTATCACCTCACATAGCACACTTCACACCACACACAATCTATCACCTCACATCTCACATAGCACACTTCACACCACACACAATCTATCACCTCACATAGCACGCTTCACAACACACACAATCTATAACCTCACATAGTACGCTTTACACCACACACAATCTATCACCTCACATAGCACGCTTCACACCACACACAATCTATCACCTCACATCTCACATAGCACACTTCACACCACACACAATCTATCACCTCACATAGCACGCTTCACAACACACACAATCTATAACCTCACATAGTACGCTTTACACCACACACAATCTATCACCTCACATAGTACGCTTTACAACACACACAATCTATCACCTCACATAGCACATAGCACGCTTCACACCACACACAATCTATCACCTCACATCTCACATAGCACGCTTCACAACACACACAATCTATCACCTCACATCTCACATAGCACACTTCACACCACACACAATCTATCACCTCACATAGCACGCTTCACACCACACACAATCTATCACCTCACATCTCACATAGCACGCTTCACAACACACACAATCTATCACCTCACATAGCACATAGCACACTTCACACCACACACAATCTATCACCTCACATCTCACATAGCACGCTTCACAACACACACAATCTATCACCTCACATCTCACATAGCACGCTTCACAACACACACAATCTATCACCTCACATAGCACATAGCACACTTCACACCACACACAATCTATCACCTCACATCTCACATAGCACGCTTCACAACACACACAATCTATCACCTCACATCTCACATAGCACGCTTCACAACACACACAATCTATCACCTCACATAGCACATAGCACGCTTCACACCACACACAATCTATCACCTCACATCTCACATAGCACGCTTCACAACACACACAATCTATCACCTCACATCTCACATAGCACGCTTCACAACACACACAATCTATCACCTCACATCTCACATAGCACGCTTCACAACACACACAATCTATCACCTCACATCTCACATAGCACGCTTCACAACACACACAATCTATCACCTCACATAGCACATAGCACGCTTCACACCACACACAATCTATCACCTCACATCTCACATAGCACGCTTCACACCACACAAAATCTATCACCTCACATAGCACGCTTCACATCACACAATCTATCACCTTACATAGCACGTTTCACACAACAAACAATCTATCAACTTACATAGCACTCTTCACAACACACACAATCTATCACCTCACATCTCACATAGCACGCTTCACACCACAAACAATCTATCACCTCACATCTCACATAGCACGCTTCACAACACACACAATCTATCACCTCAGATCTCACATAGACCGCTTCACAACACACACAATCTATAACCTCACATAGAACGCTTCACACCACACACAATCTATCACCTCACATAGCACGCTTCACAACACACACAATCAATCACCTCAGATCTCACATAGCACGCTTCACAACACACACAATCTATAACCTCACATAGTACGCTTTACACCACACACAATCTATCACCTCACATAGCACGCTTCACAACACACACAATCAATCACCTCAGATCTCACATAGCACGCTTCACACCACACACAATCTATCACCTCACATAGTACGCTTTACAACACACACAATCTATCACCTCACATAGCACGCTTCACAACACACACAATCTATAACCTCACATAGAACGCTTCACACCACACACAATCTATCACCTCACATCTCACATAGCACGCTTCACAACACACACAATATATCACCTCACATCTCACATAGCACGCTTCACAACACACACAATCTATAACCTCACATAGTACGCTTCACACCAGACACAATATATCACCTCACATAGTACGCTTTACAACACACACAATCTATCACCTCACATAGCACATAGCACGCTTCACACCACACACAATCTATCACCTCACATAGCACGCTTCACATCACACACAATCTATCACCTCACATAGCACGCTTCACAACACACACAATCTATCACCTCACATAGCACGCTTCACAACACACACAATCTATCACCTCAGATCTCACATAGCACGCTTCACAACACACACAATCTATAACCTCACATAGAACGCTTCACACCACACACAATCTATCACCTCACATAGCACGCTTCACAACACACACAATCTATCACCTCAGATCTCACATAGCACGCTTCACAACACACACAATCTATAACCTCACATAGTACGCTTCACACCAGACACAAATATCACCTCACATAGTACGCTTTACAACACACACAATCTATCACCTCACATAGCACATAGCACGCTTCACACCACACACAATCTATCACCTCACATAGCACGCTTCACAACACACACAATATATCACCTCACATAGCACATAGCACGCTACACACCACGTGGGTCGCCGAAGTAAAAGTTATATTACTATTGATTAGATAATACTATTGACTTTTATTAGGGAGCTTGTAGAGAGTCAACAGTATTAGAAACTGTAAGAAAATCACGGCGCCCCACGTTTTTGATAGCTTATAGTAGAGTGATCGCTTGCATTATTGTGATGTATAGTATTTATTTTCTACTTTTTAGTTCAATCAGAAAACGTGGGTTTTTTTAAACTTTTTTAATGATTATTATATAAGACTAAAGTGAAAACGAAATATTTTTAAGAAAACTAACCGGTATCCAAGGAGCAGAGCCATTTAAGCAGCGTTCCCACCTTGGGCAAACGCGAACAGCTATTCTCTGTTTGCATTCATCGGGATCCAAAATCAGTTCATGGACTCCAATATACCCTTCTATTTTTCCGGTGTAGCGGCAACTATAATTAACACAGTCTTTCTCATATCCTGTGATTTCCATAGGATATTTTTTATAGCAGTTTAACATATCTGTAGGGGAAAAATATTTTTAGTGTAAGTTAAAATAACTACGTTACCTTAGTATTAAAAACAGGAAATAAACATGTTAATCCTATAAAACTTTAGCAGCTTTTCCGTTGTCTTATACGCTCCTTTGCCAGCACGAACATGAATACATTTATAGGGGATACACTACCTAGCTAGGTGATGGTCCAGGGGCTTAACTTTATTTCAAGCGGAGCAGAGGCGTAGCTAGAAGGGAGGAGAATGGTGGGAGGGCGGCCACCCTGGGCGCCGACCCTATGGTGCGACAAAAGAGTAGAAAAAGAAATTAAAAGCTCATTTTAAGCTGCAGTTTTGAATCATAAGCATTCAAAGATAAAAAACGACTACAAGCCTTTATGTACTGATGTAACTGCTTTGTGTGTCTTTGTGCTTCCATTATGTAACTGTAAACTAAATACTTTTAAAAAAAGAGACAGCGACCGAGAAAAACCGCGTTCTAACATTTTAACACCAGTTGTATCAAATCGTATTGTGTGACAGTAAAATACAAAAACGGTGGGTTGGTAAGGGGAGGGGCGATGATTTTTGTCAAAGTGAACGGAGTAAATGGGAATGATTTAATGAGTAGTTAAATAGTATTAAACTAGAATAGAATCCAATCGTACCCAGTTGTATCTTATGATTGTGTAACAGTAAAACAAACTGTTAGTTAAGTTAAAACCTGCTCTACAAACGTTTTCAAAGACGTCGCAAAGATTTACACAAGTGAGTATAATAACTCACAGACAAGGAACCGTAATGTGCAACAGTAAAGCAAGAAAAAAGGTGTGCGGGAGGGGGGGCTCTTTTTCACCAAGATAAATGTGAATGATTTATTTGCATCTTTTACAAACTACACTTTAAACCAAGGGTTCTTAAAATTTTAGAGGCACCGAACCCCATCAGTTTCATATGCTCGTCCATCGAACGCTTCTTAATAGTTATATCGTCCGCATTGAGTCGGGTGTGTCTGAGACAGTTTCATCGGAAACCTGGGGTTCGACCGAACCCCGGATAAGAAGCACCGCCCTATATATAAATATTTATCAACATCATTTCCCGTTCTTGCCCATGACACATGGGGCAGATAACGTTGCGTTCATCTACTTAAGAGACCTCGCAATATGAAGCGGTAAAGGGGTAGTACAGTCAGCACTATGCCTAACAGCCAAATTAAAATTTCGCACCGGGCGCCACGAGGGGTCACTACGCCTCTGCGTTGGAGGGTGAACGACAAGTACTAAAATCTATGGAAGATATATATATATATATATATATATATATATATATATATATATATATATATATATATATATATATATATATATATATATATCTATAATATAAGCGGCTAGGTAGTGTGTCAGTCCTTCCTTCCGTCATCGCTATAGATTTTGGGACTATAAAAGTAAACTACGCACCATGCTGTGCTTTTCAGTGCACCGCAGTGTCTTATTATAGGTATTAGAGTAGGGTTTGTTTATATAGCGGCATAGAGCTATTTTATAATTTCCACTGTTTGTACAATTTTGCATAACTTAAAGAAAATATTAAATATACACACACGGCTAAAACATATTAAAAGTATCAATGTCAAATATCATTTTCGTTTATATTCCCAGAAAAAATTCCCAGAAAAAAATGGATACATTTCAATAACATAATAACAGTACGGTAGAAAAATCAAATTAATTTAACTCTTTTCTAATTTTGACAAAGGAGGTAATTTAAAAATACATTAAACTCACGCTAATAAAAAATGTGAATGCAAATATACGTTCGTCATAGAAGGAATTAGTGTTGCAATAATATAATTAGCAAAATGTGAATGCATATTATTCGGATGTGTAAGAGGAAATTATTGTTAGAAAATTATAATTAGCATGGATTGATAAAAGGCAATCTTTTATTTATTTTATTCACTGAATGTAGGCCCTACTGTTTATTACTTATAATTTTTAATCAACTATTCAGCACTATTATAGGCGCGTCATCACGTTCATTAGGTGCGCAATGGTTTTAGTTATGAAACTCTATTGTAAATTTTTAAAATTTAAAGTACTGGAAAAAAAAATGCGTGAATGGATAAAGTGAAATATTGTATATATTATAGATATTGCCTATTATTTATACTGTTTTCTAATTATTATTCTATCTTTCGGGTTTTATAGGAGAGGCGTAGCGAGGGGGGGGGGAGGGCATATGTCCCCGGGTGCCGACCTTAAGGGGCGCCAAAGTGGGTTGGAAAAAATGTGCGAGGGGGGGGGGGGGGTGGAAATCGAAAGTTTTAGGGAGGGGGGGGGAGGGGTGCAAATCGAAAAGTTTGAGGGGGGTGCAAATCACCGGAAAGGGCGCGATTTGGCGCTACGGGCTAGACTGTGAGAAATATGCCTGTATGATTGCATTTAAATTGTGTCTATGTTATGAGTGTTGTGTTTGTTTTTTCGTTTTTTTTTTTTTTTTTTTTTTTTTTTTGCGTTCGTTTGTGTTGTGTTTAGTTTTGTTCTGTTCCCAAGTTGGTACATTTAAAAAAGTTTTACCGTGGCGGAGCACGGGATGCAGCTAGTATATATATATAAAGCAAAGTGGTCAGCGGATGTTTTGGGCAGCCGGAAGGCGCTTAAAAATTTGCAAGTATCCGCGTCAGGTGACTAGAACAATTGAAAATACACATTGGTCACCAAGTCCACAAGCGGGTGAAAGCTGAGCGCGGCTGACCGCGGCCTTATAAAATCTATTTATATAAAAATATATTTTCCCCGATCGACAAATTCTAAAACTTTGTAAGGTTGTAGATTAATGCCCAGGAGCGTTCAAAAAAAAACCTGCTTGACTAAAAACCGAACCAGACGGCGTATTTCATTGTGAAAAACGGAAATCGCTCAAAATTTAATACGGATCTACGATTTTGATAAAAATACTTATATATGAAATTTCATCAGCATAGCTGTAACGGTACTAAAGTTATCGTGTTAACAGACACACACACATACACACACACACACATACACACACACAGACATACGGACAAGATTGCAAAGCTATGTTTTTCCGTCTCAGGGAGCTGTAAAACGTCGAGATTTCCAAAAATCTCGAATTATTTATTTTTTTGCACGATTACAAGACTTTCTCTTTACTTTGTATAAACGAGAAAGTAAAAAAAAAATCATAAAAAACGCTTTAATAACAAGCTTTTAAGTACTAATGCACTAAAAAGTAGAAAATAAATTAAACACTACTACTTAAATAACAATAAAGAAAAGCATGGGTCACTTTAGTATCTATTGGATACCTTTACTAATGTTTAGGAAGAGACCCACGCTTTTCTATCTATCACCTTACATTATAAACACAACCCCTCAGTCCATATATACTACACCATACATATACCAAACAAATAAATTATCTAAAATTAAAACTAAAGTGTCCCACGCTTTTCTTTATAGTTATTTAAATAGTAGTGTATAATTTATTTTCTACTTTTTAGTGCATTAGTACTTAAAAGCTTGTTATTAAAACGTTTTTTATGAATTTTTTTTCAGTAGCCTACTTTACATGTTTTATTTACAATAGAGTTACATGACTAAAATCCATTGCGCGCCTACTGAACGTGATGGCGCAGCCATTGAACGTGATGGCGCAGCTATTGAACGTGATGACACGTGTGGTGTGGTTGGATAGACATGCCTACTAATTCGGTCCAAAGTTTAATTAATTCATAAAAAATTAATTAGGCATCCAATTCGATCTAGAGTGACGACTGACGACAGACTGACGAGGAAGTGAGTTAAATAAAAGCTTGTAAAAGCACGTTTTTAAACCATGTCAACAATATGATAGAAGGTTTCTCGTCAACTCGGTCAACTCCATTTGAAAATGCTATTAGATCTAGATTTTAAGAGTAGGCCTACTTAACTCTATTCTTTACTCGGCAATATGGAAAAATGTGTTTGATCTTTAGCATGAGAATCGTCGAAGGATAAATCAATATGCAGATAATATTTTAAAAAACCACATGCGTACCTGGTAAGTAAACCAAGCAAATAAGAAGTGTTGAAAACAGCAGAACTTTATCCATCTATTCTTCAGTCTTGCTTGCAGCTCTAATAAATAATTAGGTTCGAGAGGGGAGCATTACAAGCCATAGACTACAAATAAACATAGCCTAGCCTTGGTGTATGTCATTTTGTTGTTAAGGTGTGTCGAACCAAAATATGTCCGTTTAGTACTCGTGTACAACGTGTCGGAAATACCTAAACCTGAAATGCGCAGTTTTACGCACTACAAGTTGACTTATGTGTAGGCTATGGTTTTGTTGTTAGTTATAAATGATACCCTATATTAATAAAATTTACCTTGAGGGATCTCCCCTAAACTTTCTCGAATATTCTTATATAAAACAACAGGGGATGGCAACTCTGGATATAGACATGATTTTTAATCCATTGTAATACTTAAACTTTTACAATAGAAAAAAATCTCGTAGAAAAAAGAATTGCTCACTGTGAGGGTACGAAACGAACTTTGTTTTGAGGTTCTTCTTGTTGCACCAGTTGTGAGGGTGGGGATTTTTATGAAGGCGGAACGAATGAATGCAATAACACACAGTTCAAGTTCAACTATAATTGTTCTTTATTAAAATGATATATATGTTCAAGTTTCTACCTAACTGATCTACACTGTACTATTTACTTCTACTACTGACTGTTCATACCACATGCTACCTACTACTACGCACTCCCATGACCAATCCTAACACTAACCAACTGTTCCGTAGCTCTGCAAATTACAACCGTCTCTAACCACTACCTAACACCTTCTCTCCTCGCTATCTACATCCCAACCCGCTAATCTCTCTACTGCCTAACGCCTCAGTGGTCAGCTGACCGTCCCACGTGACCGGTCAGCCCTGTGCGCCCATTGGCCTCTCTAACCAACCAACTAGGCCTATAGTCTGTTTCTGCTAAACTATATCTGCTAAACATGTCTGACGTAATCTTGCGTCATCACATATCTCCCTCCCTTTCTGTAGCTGACAAATTATATTTTTCAGAGTCTACTACTAATCTAATACATCAACAACTATCTATCTTACTACTCTATTCTATCCCTAACATCAATCATGTAAATCAAATACAAAATGGGACAGCACAGTTTACAAAAACATAAAATCTTGTGTCTGTGTTTTTGAAAAAAAAATGTCATTGTTTTCGTTCTTGTGTAGGTATCCTGACGTCTGTGGTGTCGCTGCTTGATAATGTATGTCTATGTTATTGTATGTGTGAATCCAATCATGTGTAACTCAGTTCTGGCTAGGCTGTCGTGTACTGGCCTTGAGCCAATCTTAGTGGTAATGTGTAACTGGTTGAACGGCTCAGCGAGCAGTGTAAGTGTAGGTGTAAGTTATGTAATTGTTGGCGTTCCTCTGTGGTGGGTGGGTTGTGTCGAGTTTGATGTAAATTCCCGTGAGGCGGGTGTATGCGTAACTTCGTTGGTCAATGTGATGACGCAACAATCTCAACGCTGGTTGAGACGTCCACGTAGAGTGGTTATACGATGAACTGGAGCTGTCTGATGCGCTGGTGAACAATGACGTAACATTCTGTCGCTGGGAACTTGGACGATGGGTCTTCTACCCTTTGTATGTGCCGACGTAAGTGTATGTAGCTAGCGGTCTGTTATTCAACCCCAGTGCAGGGGCGAAGCGGTGGCGATGCGTCCGCTATCTTGACCAGGGCAATTCTCTGTTCGGCAGGGCTGTTCACTGTCCAGGTAATTCAACGTAATCAGGGCTTCAGGTGGCGGCACTCTTTGAAGTGTCTGCTTCATCTTGTCTCATTCTGTGTAAGCGTTGGTGGGTCTGAAAATTGTATTACGAGATTATGAGCAATGGCTTTACGTAACCACTTTAGTGCCCGCGCAGACAAGTATTCAGACAGAGGTACCTTCCATTAAAAAAAACCTCAATCCCAAATTTAAACGTGCTGAACATTTGTCTGGCGGCATAAAAAACATAAAAAATAACATTACAACATAACCAAAATAAAAAAATCAGTACACTCTAATCTAACAACAATCTGTAAAGCCTAATAAACTCAATAGACGTAAACACTACTAGAGCTTAGAAATAGCTTCACACAAAAAGAATAGACATGTGAGTGTGTATAATCAATAATATTCTGCCATTTCAAATCAATATTTGAACACTTAATCATATAGTGGAGCAGCTCTCACTATGTGACTTCTGACTTGACTTAAACTGGCTGGCTTGACTTCATGACTGACTTCACTTATGACTTCAGTAACCTGACTTATTTCACTTTGACTTCAGTAACGTGACTGACTTCAATTTAACGACTGATTCCACTTTGACGACTTCAATTACTTCAACTTGACGACTAACTTCACTTTGAAGACTAACTTGACCTCGACGACTTAACTTCAATTCAACTTAAAGACTTCACTGACCGACTTAAACTTCGACGACTTAAACGTCTTCACTTTGACTTCAAAGACTTTTCCTTGACTTCAACGACTTCAATATGACTGCAAAGACTTTTTCTTTGACTTCAACGACTTCAATATGACTTCAAAGACTTTAACTTTGACTTCAATGATTTCAACGACATCACTTTGATTTCAAAGACTTCACTATAACTTCGACGATTTCAATTCTTCTCTATGACCTTAACGACTTTAATATAACATCAAAGACTTTTCTTTGACTGCAACATGACTTCAACTACGTCACTATGACCTCAACTACGACTTTAACAACACTGACTGACTTGACTGACTTCAAATAACTTCTTTGACTTCAGTTGTGACTTATACTTCACTGACTTCAATAACACTATTGACTTCAGATTTGACTACACTGACTTCAACTTGTATCGACTTCACGCCGATTTTTTCGACTACTTAGATTAACATACAAATACTCGACTTGACTTCACTATTATGTCCGTTGTTCAAAATCATTTATGGGGACGGTCCGGGTCACATTCTTGGTCACGGGCTTGATGTTCTTGGGCAGTTGCGTGTTATCTATTTGATGTACTTTCCGTTTCACTAATTCTAACGCTAACTCTGCTTTTGTTCTTGACATGTTTTACTATCTTGACTATCTTGTTTTCTAACTTATTCTCTACAAATGTTTTAACTTCTTCTCCTGTTTTGTCCAATGGTATGCCCTGTTTATAGCATTAAAACTCTGCCTCCATGGTTGTGTATGTGTGTGTGTGTGTAGAGGAAAGTTAACAAAACTAAGAAAACAGGGCGTAACATAAGAATGTGTAAGGCAGAAAAACCGCTGGTACAAGCTATCCAGCACGGGTATAAACCCAAACGTTTAAAAAAATGTTGGAAGGTACTTATCTTTTTGGACATGTTGACTGTTTTCTTGTGTTGGTAATCCACTCGTTCCGGTTGAAGAAACCCGCTGTTGTGATGAGTTAGAGAAAGCAATACACCAGTCATACTCCGTCATGAATAGCTGATATACGTTCTTTCCCTTACTCGATCTGCGGTTCGTCCCGCGCTCCGCCAATTGTGAGGGTACGAAACGAACTTTGTTTTGAGGTTCTTCTTGTTGCACCAGTTGTGAGGGTGGGGATTTTTATGAAGGCGGAACGAATGAATGCAATAACACACAGTTCAAGTTCAACTATAATTGTTCTTTATTAAAATGATATATATGTTCAAGTTTCTACCTAACTGATCTACACTGTACTATTTACTTCTCCTACTGACTGTTCATACCACATGCTACCTACTACTACGCACTCCCATGACCAATCCTAACACTAACCAACTGTTCCGTAGCTCTGCAAATTACAACCGTCTCTAACCACTACCTAACACCTTCTCTCCTCGCTATCTACATCCCAACCCGCTAATCTCTCTACTGCCCCACGCCTCAGTGGTCAGCTGACCGTCCCACGTGACCGGTCAGCCCTGTGCGCCCATTGGCCTCTCTAACCAACCAACTAGGCCTATAGTCTGTTTCTGCTAAACTATATCTGCTAAACATGTCTGACATAATCTTGCGTCATCACACTCACCAAGTAAACGCCAAATAAAATGTGCATAATAGTGCGGAATATTATTAATACTTTATAACTTCACATGCGTTGTTTTTTTTTTGAGAAATAAAAAATAGCGTAAATTACTACTTCCGGTCAGCAGACATTACTCAAAGTTTGACAGATGGCAGAGAATTAGATCTATTACTTCCGTATGAAATTTCATATATCTATCTGCAATAGTACTCAAGTAAAAGGCTTTTGAGAAATTGAAAGTAGAAACAGTTCCACTTCCGGTTTTTGGAAATCGCTCAAAAGTTTATTCAAATCTACAAAATTGATATAATATCTCTACAAGAAATTTCATCAACCTAGATGTAACTGTACTCAAGTTATCGTGTTTACAGAAACACACAAACACTTACACACACATAGAGAGACATAAGGACATAATTGCAAAACCATGTTTTTCCGACTCAGAGTGTTTTGCACGATTACAAGCAGAGTTTCTTCCAGGCATCTCTTCGGGGGGGGGGGGGGGGGCGAAGAAAGTCTACCGCCCCCCGAACGAAATGGAATTTATATAGAAAATATATACTTTTGACTGCGTCCGCCCCCTCCCTCCCCCCAAAAATTGTTGTCCGTCCCCCCAGAAATTGTTGTTCCCCCCCCCCCACCCCCCATCCGAAAATTTCAAGTGCACCCCCGGAGAAATAAGTCTGGAAGAAACACTTATTACAAGACTTTCTCTATACTTCGTATATACGAGAAAGTAATAATAAAAGCAAATTAGAACCAACTGTATGATTACTGTTTAATTTGATGTATTTCCTAACGATGACACACAATGTCATCTAATTCAATAGCGCAGTTTCCATAGTAGGTTTACCTTCGTCAAAACAAGAGATTATACGGTCAGCACTAATGTCAAACGCCGTTGTTATCGAAAGCTCGAGACTTCATCATACCCCAACAAAAAAAAATGTGCGCAGTTCATAATTATATACTTGTCAACCACCACCCAAAACACAACCACTTGCAACCCATTCGAAATAATATACTTATCAACCACACGCCCAAATCAAACAAACAGAAACCATTTTTCCCACCTCCCCCCCCCCTTTCCCCATCACACCACCACAATACACTTCTATCAGCACTTTATTTACGC